ATGGTACCAATGGGCCCCGTGGCCCCTGACTCAGCCCCCGGTGGGGGCTCGCTCAGTGGCTAGAGCCTCAGAAAGACTGTCGGCCTCCCTTTCCCAGCCTCCCAGAAAGGAGTTGGTGGGACGTGCATCTTTGGTTCCATGCCCGGAGGGCGACCAAGTGGTAGGACCTCCGGTACCGGTGCGTACGCAGACTACCGTGCCTGCATCCTCACCCTCCCATGATGAGGCTATTACGGCCCCTCCTCCCTCTGTTCCGCAGGAGGACTCTAAAGCCCACCAGGAACTATTGAAAAGGGTGGCATCAAGCCTCAACCTTCAGGCCGAGCAGGTGGAGGAACCCTCGGCTTCCCTCTTCAACGTCCTGTCAGCCTTGGTACCGTGCAGGGTTGTCTTTCCACTCCACGAAGGCGTGGCAAAAATTTCAAATGTCTTGTGGCAAACCCCGGCTTCCTTGCCCCACATCTCTAAGAGGGCAGAATGAAAGTACTTTGTGCCCACCAAGGGGCATGAATACCTGTACCCCGCCCTGCCCCCAACTCCCTGGTGGTCGAGTCGATCAACCATAGGGAGAGGCAGGGCCAACCAGCCCCTACTACGAAAAATAAAGACTCAAGGAGGCTGGACTTATTTGGGAGAGAGGTTTATTTGTCCTCGAGTTGCCAGTTAAGGGTGGTGAACCACCAGGCTCTCCTGGGCCGGCATGAGTTCAATCTGCGGGGCTCTCTACCCAAATTCGAGCACTCCCTCCAAGAGCGTGACAAGGAGGAGTTCAAAGCGCTGGTGGAGGAGGGCACAGCGGCGGGCAGGGCAGCGTCGGATGCTGCGGATACAGCTGCAATGTCCATGAGAAGGGCGTCGTGGCTCCTGCTGTCCAGTGAGGCGCAGAACTCCCTGCAGGACCTCCCGTTCGATGGCAAGTCCCTGTTTGCGGAACAGACGGACGTGAAGCTGCACAGCCTGAAAGATTCCCACACTACGCTTAAGACACTTGGCCTCTGTGTCCCGGCTCCAGCCAGGCCCAAGTTTAAGCCGCAGCAGGCTCCCACCCAGGCCACCCACTCTAAATACGAGCCCCCTTATAAAAAGTCATGGGACTATAAGAAACGCCCGCAGAGGCAGTCCCCGTCTGTCCCCAATCCTGGATCCTCCAAGGGTAAACAGGCGGGGAAATGTCAGTTTTGACGGGACGCCTGGGAGCAACCTACCAGTTCACACCAGGGATCCACCCGCAATAAAGCTTCCCTTCTCCAATCGGTTGTGTGCTTTTCTCCCAGAGTAGTCGTGGCTGATTTCGGACTGTTGTGTCCTCAATACCATCTCCCGGGGCTACACCTTCCAGTTTACCTCTACCCTGCCCAACCACCCTCCGCCCCCTGTCCCTCCTGGGAGATCCCTCTCACGAGGCTCTGCTAGAGCAGGAGCTGGGGTGGCTCTTTGGCTTAGGAGTGGTGGAAGTGGTGCCAGTGGAGTTCAAACGCAAGGGGTACTACTCCTGCTATTTCCTTATCCCGAAGGCCAAAGGGGGGCTCAGGCCCATCTTGGATCTGCGAGGCCTGAACTAGTACATGGTAAAGCTCAAGTTTTGCATGGTCTCTCTGACCTCCATCATTCCTTCCCTGGATCATGGGGACTGGTACACCACCCTCGATCTGCAGGACGCTTACTTCCACATTCATATATTCGAGGGGCCCAGGTTCTTCCTCCGTTTCACGGTTGAGCAGGAGCACTACCAATTTATGGTCCTCCCGTTTGGCCTGTGCACTGCTCCCAGGGTATTCACAAAGTGCATGTCTGTGGTGGTGGCCTACCTCAGATGTTGTGGGGTCCAAATCTTCCCCTATCTGGATGACTGGCTGGTCAAGGGCAGCTCCCGGTCGCAGGTGTGGGATCACGTGGCATTTCTCCTGTCACGTGTGCCACCCTGGGCCTGTGGGTGAACGACACCAAGTTCACGTTAGTCCCGGTACAGTGCATAGAATTTATCAGGGGCAGTCCTGGATGTGACATTAACCAGGGCCTACCTCCTACCAGACAGATTCGAGACCCTGAAAGGGCTCATCGACACAGTCACAAAGTTTCCTGTGACGACAGCCAGAGTGTATCTCCAGTTCCTGGGTCGCATGTCGGCATGCACATATGTGGTTCGCCATGCCAGACCCAGGATGAAGCCCCTCTAGCTCTTGTTGGCCTCGGTGTTCTCCCAGGCCAGAGACAGGATGGACAAGGTCCTCACTGTGCCCGGGCCGGTGATCACCTCCGTACAATGGTAGTCCTCCCCGGTGAACATGCTCCACGGGGTCTCATTCAGGGGCAGGTCCCCGTCGGTGGAGCTGGTGTCCAACGCCTCGGACCTGGGGTGGGGAGCCCATGTGGGGGACGTTCAAACCCAAGGTCTGTGGTCCACACAGGATCTTGCCCTGCATATAAATGTCAAGGAGCTCAGGGCAGTCCAGCTGGCATGCGTGGCCTTCCGCTCGCACCTGGAAGGCAGAGTGGTCAGGGTTCTCATGGACAACACTGCCACAATGTTTTACATCAACAGGCAAGGTGGGGCCCGCTCCTCTGCCCTCTGCCAGGAAGCCCTCAGGCTGTGGGACTTCTGTATAAGTCACGACATTTGCCTACAGGCCTACCACCTATCGGGCGCCCGGAACTCGTGGGCGGATTGCCTGAGCCGAAACTTCTCCTCTCCTCACGAGTGTTCTCTACATCCACAGGTGGTGCTCAGACTTTTACAAGCGTGGGGAACTCCCCAGGTGGACTTGTTCGCGACCGGTAGAACCGCTGGTGTCCCAGGTTCTGCTCCAGAGGGGAGGCAGGGAGACACGCAGGTTGTATCTCTGTTGCCTTCCTCCTATCCTGGTCAGGCCAGCTTCTCTATGCCTTTCCCTCCTGCGAGCCCGCTGATCGGCAAGGTTCTGGAGAAGATAAAGACGGACGGAACCAGGGTCCTCTTGATTGCCCCGGTGTGGCCCAGGCAACATTGGTACAAGACCCTCATGAGCCTGGTGGTCATCCCACTGTGGCCATTGCCATCCCACCCGGACCTGCTCTTCCAGGACCAGGGCCCCCTCCTCCACCCCAATCTAGCGGCACTCCACCTCACGGCGTGGCTGCTCAATGGTTAGGCTGGGAGGAAAGGACGTGCTCGGAAGGGGTTCAGCGCGTCCTCTTGGAAAGCAGGTGACCCTCCACACGTCGAGCCTACTTGGCAAAGTGGTCTCGGTTTTCCCGATGGGCGGCTGAGCAGGGTGTTTCCCCTGTGGCTGCCCCGATCCAGCTCATTTTAGACTATCTCCTTCACCTTAGAGCCCCCAAGGCCTGGCACCCTCATCCATCAAGGTGCACTTGGCCATATTGGCCTATCACCCGCCAGTGCAGGGGCACACAGTATTCTCCCATGCTATGATTAGCCGATTCCTTACGGATTGGACCGTCTCTTCCCGTATGTTAGGCCCCAAGTTCCGCAGTGGGACCTGAACTGGGTGATGTCCTGGTTGACGGGTCCCCCCTTTGAGCCGTTAGCTACATGCTCTTGGTCACAGCTCTCGTGGAAAGTAGCCTTCCTGGTGGCGATCACATCAGCTAGACAGGTCTCGGAACTCAGGGCCCTGACCTCCGAGCCGCCGTACATGGTGTTCCATAAAGATAAGGTCCAGCTCCGCCCACATCCTTCGTTCCTCCCGAAGGTGGTCTCCACCTACCAGATGGGTGAGGATATTTTCCTGCTGGTCCTCTGCCCCAAGTCCATGCGTCCAGTGAGGAGCGCTGCCTCTACACGCTGGATGTGAGACAGGCTCTGGTCTTTTACCTGGAACGGACTAAGCCGTTCAGAAAGTTTTCGCAGCTGTTCATCGCCTCGGCCGAATGCATGAGGGGTCGGCTGATATCCACTCAGCAGCTCTCCAACTGGATCACCTCGTGCATCCATACCTGTTGCTACTTGGCAGGAATTCCCCCGCCGTCAATTGTGAGGGGACACTCGACTAAGACGTAGGTCCCGTCGGCTGCCTTTTTAGCCCATGTCCCCATTCAGGACATTTGCAGGACTGCCACATGGTCTTCAGTTCACACGTTCACCTCGCATTATGTGATCATCTCCCAGACCAGGGAAGACACTAGGTTCGGCAGGGCTGTGCTCCGTCCCGAGAGTTTGTGAACACCTACCCACCTCCAACAGATATAGCTTGGAATCACCTACTGTGGAATACACATGAGCAATCACTTGAAGAAAAGACAGTTACCTTTTCTGTAACTGATGTTCTTCGAGATGTGTTGCTCATGTCTATTCCACATCCCGCCCTCCTTCCCCTGTGTCGGAGTTGTCTGGCAAGAAGGAACAGGGTGGGGGAGTGCGCAGCGCCCCTTATACCGCACCATAGAATCGCCACTCCAGGGGTTGCTAGGGGTGCTCCCCTACGGATACTGCTAGGGGAAAAACTTCTGGCAGGGGTGCACGTGGCGAGCACACACACCTACTGTGGAATAGATATGAGCAACACATCTTGAAGAACACCAGTTACAGAAAAGGTAACTGTCTTTTTCACTGTTTGCCTCTTAGAGGTGCTTCTGCAGAACTCTGATTGTAAACCCACAGATTTCATATGCATGGCTGAAAATATAGGGTTATATTAAGAACTGAGTTGCCACCTTATCTGTCTAATTATTATAGTATCCTGGTGCTAGATATTTTCTGAGCAATTACTCTGATTGCCATTAAATGTAGTTTTTTGTAGTCTTAGTAGTATTCTCGTAGTTGGCTGAGTCACTAGCATGGCTATTCTTCATAAGATGCTGAGCTCTACTGGCAGGGTTTTCAAAATGTCGTGTCTTCTGGGATTTTTTCAGCAGTAAGGAGATGCTATGGTATGGGTGTTCTTGATATTTCCCATCATTAATAGAACTATGTAAGCTAATAACATGAATCACATATTCACAAGGAAAACTAAATATTAGGTTTACTTCCCTTTGTCTGCTTTAAAAAAAATTGTAATTGACAGACGAATCCAGGAAAGGGATAAACAGTGGCTTGATCGAGTGCAACAGGAGGAAGAGTACCAGCGGCAAAAAAAAATTCAAGAAGATGAAAAGCCAAAAAGGGAAGAAATAATTAAGAAGACAGACAGTGAGGATAAGGGCAAACAGGAAATGCAAGATAAATTGAATAAGCTTTTCCATCAACATCAAGAGCCAGCCAAGCCAGCCATCCAGGCGCCCTGGTCAAGTGCAGGTATGGAAGAGTAAGGAAATCTGTTGCATACAGCTGCTGAAACATAGACTCCTCCTCCTTACGTCCTGGCTTCTTATTCCGTATGTTGGATATTCTGTATTCAAACTAAGTCACTAATCTTGTTTAAATAAATGGTTTAAGGCTTACATTGTCCACTGTGCATCACTTCTGGGCACTGTTGCTCTCCCTACAAGTGTGGAATTTAATAGAAGTCACATAGGAAGTGAAGGGGACTGGATGAGATGCATCATGCAGCTTGGAGAAGAGAATTTAGTTGTAAGCTGGTGCTTGTCTCCAACAAACTATTATTTCTCAAAACAATGAGATAAAATAATGTTGCTATGTTTCACCTTTTAGAGGCGAAATTGCACTTCAAAAATAACTTTCTTCACCCCTGTGTACAGTTTGTATGCTAGTCTATAACATCTGCTTTGGGATCCTTCAAAGTAGAGGCAGTATGTAACTAGCTAGTCACATACAATTAAAAAAAAAATCCAAATTGTTTGGAAAAAACCTTAAAACCAGTTAAGGGGGAATAAATACAGTAGATGTTATCCATCAGCCATATAGTATTTGCCAGATGCGATTTAACGAGGCTGTAAAAGGTCACTATATGGAAAATGACCATCTATACCAGGAATTTACTGATCAAGTTAATCCATTACGTCGGTGCAATGCTTCAAAACAAAACAGGGAAAGTTGTAAAATCATTGTACATGGTTTTAAATGCAGTTATTTTCTATATAAATAGCTGTGTGTTTCATAAAAGCTAAAAGCATATTATTTTAAATAGGTGGTGCTAAAGGAGAAAATAGAGAGAAAATGTAAGTTTAATTATTTGTTTGCTTATTTCCCCTTATGTAAAATGGGGATAGTACTTACTCTGCCTCTCAGGGGCATTGTGATAATTAACACTTTGCCTCTCATTTTTTTTACCTCTCTTCTTCTAAAGTGCTTCACAAACATTTTTGTTTAGTTTTTAATATGTATTTTTCTTCCTCTATATATAGAAAAAGCTCCACTAACTATTTCTGCTCAGGAGGATGTAAAAATAGTATATTATCGGGCATTGTATCCTTTTGAAGCCAGAAGCCATGATGAAATCACTATTCAGCCAGGTGACATAGTCATGGTAAGAAGAGTGTGATGTTGCTTGGAAAACTGTACTTTGTTTTACATCTCTGCTTCTGTTTTTATACCAGTATTTTATTCAACCTAACTTTGAATTTACATATACCACAAGTATTACAAGCAAGTTGTAAAGACTGAAATGTACAGTATGTGCTATCATTTATTATCTCTGCTGTTAGAATAATGAGAGAGGCAAGGTGGGTGAGGTAATATCTTTTATTGGACTAACCTCTATTGGTGAGGGAGATAAACTGTCAAGCTCTCACAGAGCTCTTCTTCTAGTCTGGGAAACTTAGGTCTGTAATGTAGGACTGGCCTATGTCAGTATAACTATATTGCTCATGGATGTGGAACTTCTACTGATACAGCTACTGCCAGGGAGTGGATTAACTACGCCAACTGGAGAAGCTCTCCGGTTGGCATAGTAGTGTCTTCACTAACATGCTACAGTGGTACAGTTGCACCTGTGCATGTGCCGCTGTACATGAAGACAAGACCTTACTCAGAGTGTCATAGCTAAATACAAAATAGAACAGTTTACCATAAATAGTAACACACATTTCAAGGGAGCGTGCAAGGTGAAATTGCCTGTTAACACCCCTCTAAGGCACAGGGAGGAAAGGGGGGTTGTTAGTGGGTTATAGATTGTTGTGCTAAACCATCAATCCAGTGTCTCTATTCAGTCCATGATTTTTAGTGACTAGTGAAGTTAGAATTTAAGCTCCCGGGCCATCTTTTGAAAGTATTGTGCAGATTTCCTTTGAGGATGAGGACTGAGAGGTCAGATGTAGAGTGATCACTTTGTGAAAAGTGTTCACCACAGGTGATGTGGCATTTGTGTCTGATCGTTCTCCTGTGAGTTCATTCGAGAGCTTAGTGATTGTCTGGTTTCACCCACAGATTTGCTATTGGAGCATTTAGTGCACTGGATGAGGTACACGATATGTTATGATAGGTATGTGTAGAACCCAGGGATCTTGAAAGGTGCATTTTGGAGAGTGTTGATCATTGTAGCAGGTTTTGCATCTGTTTTTCTGGCAGGGTCTGTTGACGCTTTCATTTGTCCTAGCGTGTGGGGAGCTTGCTTCTGATTATGAGCTTTGAGAGTTTGTGGGGGCGGGGCGTTGTTTGGAGGTTTGAAGAGAGGGTTCAGAAAAGATTTCTTTCAGGATGGGCTCCCCATCGAATATGGGTTGTCGTTGTTTGATAATACCTGTATGGGTTCCAGTATGGGGTGGTAGGTGACAAGTAGGGCTGTACAGTCGGGGAGGGGCAGTTATTTCTGTGTTTTGAAGCAGGTTCTGTTTGGGTGGCCTGTTCCATGATGCGATCTACTTCTCTGGAGTGTCCTTGTTTGGTGAAGGCAGTTTTGAATGTATTATGGTGTATATCCTAGACTTTCTCCTCAGAGCATATTCTGTGGTTTGAGTGCCTGCCTGTAGATTAGATTTCTTGGTGTGTTTCAGGTTTTTACTGGGTCTATGAAGATAGGTATAGTGATCTGTGGGTTTCTTGTATATGGTTGTTTGTAGGGTTCCATTGTTGGAAGCTGATTGTGGTGTCCAGGAAGTTGGTGCTGGTGTGGGAGTGTTCCAGAAAGAGTTTAATGGACTTTTGGTGGTTGTTGAAATTGTGGTAGAAATCTCTGAGGGAGTTTGTCGTCCATCCAGAGGATGAAAATATCATGAATGTATTTCAGTTTTTGTGGTGGATTTGTCCAGAAATTCTTCAAGTTGGCCCATGAAGAGTTTTGCATATTGGGGAGCCATCTTAGTACCCAGGATGTTCCCATGGTTTGGACAAAATGTGTTATTGAATGTAAAATTGTTATGAGTGAGGATGAAATGGATGAGTTTGGCGATGTGTTTAGGATGCATATCTGAGGGTTGTCCATGGTCTTGTAAATATTAGAGGTAAGCAGCTATGCTGTCATTGAGGGATGTTGGTGTATAGGGAAGTGACATTCATGGTGGCAAAACTGATTTCTGAGGGAGGTGGTTAATGTTGCGGAGTTTGTGGAGGAAGTTGGTTGTGTCCTGGAGGAAGTTGGCTCTTTGTGTGTAGAGTGATTTGAGGATGGTTTCTATGAGTCCCAATAATACTTCATTAAGAGTGCTGTGGCCAGATATGATGCGTCTGCCTGGGTTCCCTTGTTTGTGTATCTTGGGAAGCACATAGAAGGAAATCACGGGGGAGGAGTTTGTAGAATTTCTCTTGGAGTTGTTTGGGGAAGGATTTGATGATATCCTTAAATTTATGGGTTAATTATGGTGTGCTGTTGTCTGAGTTCTTTGTAGTAGGTAGTGTCGGAGAGTTGTCGGTTGGCCTCAGTGTAGTCATCGTGGTTGAGGACTATGATGGTACCCACTTTGTCTGCTGGTTTGATCACTGGTGGTTAGATTTCAGGGACTGTATAGCTGTTCTGTCAGCAGTGGAGAGATTGTGGTGGATGTGATGTGATAAGATTAGAATAATGGTCAGTTTTCTTAAAGTTCATTATAATGCAAGGTATAGATACAGTTTGCTCATCAGCTTTATCAGTCTTAGTATAATAACTCAGCTCTAAATGAGTTTGGTGACAGGGAAGTCCAAAGTGTCTGAACAGGTTCCCAAAGTCAACTAGTCTACAGTGAGACATTTGGTCTTGAAGACAAATAAGTGACACAATCATCACTGTCATAGTCACTTCTGAGGATGGTTGCTGTACCTGGAGGTCAGAACAGAGTATTAAAGATTTGTTTGGGCTATAAAGCCTATCTAAAACTGTAGTACTAAAACAATGCAAACTATTCTAATTCCAATTTAAAAAAACTCAACTATATTAAGAGAATGTTACGGTTAAATTAATGCTATGTTAAACGCTTATTCTGAGTTAGGAAATGACTACATTAAGGTCACAATCTATATGTTATGAACTTTAATTACATGATGACCATTTCTCCAATAATATATTTTTTTCTACAATTTCTACTTTGTCATAATGATCCAGTATAGGTTTTTTTACTTGTTCATACAATAACTTTTCCTCTCAAACATTTTCCCCTACTTAAAAATGGCTGAATTGTTTTGCTGAAACACCTTAAAAATTATTTTTTCAGGCAGGGACAAAGTAGAGAAAATGTCAGTCTGACAAAAGGAAGTTTCAGAAAGTGATAAGCAACTGAAAACATTGTTGGGAGTCTAAATGGAATGGAAATGCTTATACATCTTTAATTGTAGTGGTTGGTACCACTGGGATAAATCTGCCTAAAAATACTGTGGAAGTATAACTTGCACTCTTTGTAATTCCTAAATCTTTTAAAAATTGTAACTGCAATTGTCAGTAACTATATTTATTAATGTTTAAGAATATCTGAATAATTGGAATAAGCGTTATTAATATTGTAACATGCAAATGTCATTTTACAATTTAAAAAAATTCTCAATGAAAATATTACGTAAAAATCTAGTTAATTTATGAAAAACTATGAAGCAGAAGCATTTTGACTTTAATTCACTACTTGATCTTCCTATCATAATGAGTTCTTTTTTAAAAAAAGCTGTCACACTCCGGTAAACTTCAGTTGGGTTTTGGAAAAATAAACTTTCTAAACTGTCATATCTTAATGATATCTAGACATTAGTAAAAAGAAGCTCTGATCAACCTTTTCTTCCTTTTTGATTTATTCAGCAATATCACAATCTGGTGTTCATGACATCATGAAGATTGGATTGTGGCATTACTGAATGATTTAGGAAGAGGCCCAAAACCCAATTGAAGTGCAGTAATTTCACTGAAATGTTGTCACTTATCCTTTAGTAAAGAAGTGAGGTTGGCAAGTCATCAGTCAAATGAGAAAGTATGCAGGCATGTGGGGCTCTGTAGGTTATTGAAGAAAGTATTAACTGGATTATTCCAGTCTCAGGGAATAAAATGTTTGCTAGAGGTACAGGCATACACTGAGCTTTGCTTGAGGAAGACTAAACTTCAGTTTACTAAATGGCTCAGGGGACATAATGAAATGTTGGAAAATCAGTATTCTGATTTCAGGGGACACTTCTGAATTTCAGATCACGTTTTGGATAATCTGCGTTCACCTGTACATGACTTTTTAGGTTTCGCTTTTAGTTTATAACAGGGAAAAACTGGCCTCTGGCCTTGGCTTATTTTTATTTAAATATCTTTAATTACTGTCAGAGCTAACAACTGATTCTAGTGGGATTGCTCTCCTGCTCTTTAGTAATTGCTTAATTTGTGAAATGTGTTATAATTCTGCCTTACTTTCAAATCATTGCTTTCCTCCTGGAGGTTAAAAGGGAATGGGTAAGTATGCTGTATGACTGTTAAGAAGTCTGCACAATCTTTTAATACATTTTTATAAATATAGCTTTACTGTCAAGTTACATGTTGTTGTTTTTTCAATTTATCTAGGGTAAAATTTTTGAGAGACTTAAGTCCCGTTGTCTAAAGTTACTTAAGCTCTTAAGTGCCTACATCACTTAAGCATTCAAAAAAAATGGCATGTCATGCTTCTAAAAGGTGTAAGTCAATTATAGTTTTTGGAGAGTAACAGTTTGCAAGCTTATGTGTTACGATATGTCTAAGATCCTATATATCAGGGATTGGCAACCTTTGGCATGCGGCCCGCCAGGGTAAGCACCCTGGCAGGCCAGGCCGGTTTGTTTACCTGCTGCGTCCACAGGTTTGGCTGATCGCTGCTCTCACTGGCCCAGGCCAATGGGGGCTGCAGGAAGCGGCGCAGGCTGAAAGTTGTCGATCCCTGCTATATAGGCTGGCCTTATGACCGTTTAAATGCAAGTTAAACTCTGGTTAAACTTTCAGCTTGTCTAAGCCAACCAGTATGGACTGGGGTAAAACGAGCTAATAACAATCAAGTTCTAATGTTGATGAAGGCCTATAGTGCTGTGATTTGGATTGGTCCGTGCTGGCTGGTGAGCACTATCCAGCTACAACTGGAATCCTGCCTCACTTCTAACTACTAGTATTTTGAGGGAACACAGTTAAAGCATGGTTCAGTCTGACAGTGCAGACAAGAGTTAGGCTGTGTGTTACCATGTTCCGGAGCCGTGCTACCGCCTTGACTTTAACAGGGCTGCAACATGGTTTGAAGAGTTGGTTGAAACGCTGTTTGCCCTGTGAGACTGAACTGAGCTTTAAGTGCTCTCCAGCTCTCTGGTAATTTAAATTCCTTTTCCACCTTTGCTGTAATGTATGTGTGGAACTGCAGGACCTGTGTGGAAGGGGGCATTTAATTTTTAGGGGGTAGACAAATAACCAAAGGGTTCAGGAAGTATGTACCAGATACAGATGCTGGCTCTCTCTAATACTGGGATATTTGGTTATATATTCATGGTCTCCCATTGAATCTGTGTGCATGATGGGAATACAGGTCAGAGTTGAGTTAAAGTACGTCAAATAAAATTTTTATTTATGTTTTCTGTTGTTTAACTTTTTTATTTTTACCATTTAACTTGGAGTTTTTGGCTTTCCAAGTTCCTTAAACTTTAAACATATTTTTAAAGATTATTTTCGTATAAATTGTATTTATAATTATTTACAGCCTTTCCTACAGCTTAACCATGCATTTGTCTTGGATTGATAATACTTTTGAACCTAGACAGCCCCTTCCATTCCAGGCTCCCTCTCAAACTGATAAATTTCTAACTTCTATTTCATTAGCACTCTGTATGGAGGAATGCTGTTTATCTTTCCTTTTGACTGGATATTTTTCTAGTGGAGTGGATGTTAATGAGTTCATTTGTTTTCCTTTGGGTTGGGCATCTTTCCATCCCCTCCCCTAGCACCAAGCTGAAGTTCCTGAGCAGATTCTGATGGAACTAACCATCTCCTGTGTACTTCAGTGTTTTGGAATGAATTTGCAAGTAATTCCATGAAGAACACTTGGATTATTGATCTTAGTGGCCTGGGTGTTAGAGGAACGTAATTCAGGATCAAATAGCTCCATTTCTGCCCAGAGCCTAAAGCAATTTCATAATAATGCATAGTAGTCTGTAGTCAGTCAGTTTTGTCAACCGATGGCGATGGAGACTATTATTGTTGTTTTGTAATATGTCGGAGCCTAGAGATCTATGCCCCGTTATGTTAGGTACTGCACAAACATAAGAAGATGGTCACTGCCTGGAAGATTTTACATTCTGAGTAGTAGTAAGGGTTTCATTCATCTTCTAAGATGAAAGTCAGCTTTCAGGAAAGTAGATTTTAAAAAGAAACGGATAGTGTTTTAGCAGATAGAATATATGGTTGAAAAAAGATATCTAATGGTGGCATTTGTTTTCAATCTGATTAAATGCCAGAGGTAACTGGATTTCTAATTTTTTTTTTTTTTTGTCATTGAGTGTTCTTGTGAAGTCTTACAAAAGCTGCTTCTTTGAAGTTCTACAGTGCTATACTTTAAACTTTTAAACAGGTCACCTACCCTCTATAAAGCTGGGAAATCATAATTTTTTGTAAATGTAAAAAGATGGCTTTTCATGCTTATAGAATATTTCAAAAAAGCTAATGTTGATTGAAGAAACGGAAATTTCATCTGCGTTATTTGTACTGTTTTAAGAATTTGCAGAGTTTTCAATTCTGCTTAAAGAAATCTTTAATCACTTTTTAAAATCATTCTTGTATATTTCTCATCTACTTGTGCAAAAAAAATTTAAGTCATTTAGGCAACTATATCAGTGTGATCCATTTTTAAGAAGCCCTTTTTAGCAGGTTAAAAAGACAGCTTGTGACCTATTGCTGAACTTATTTATTATTGATTTCAATCATCACCTTAGCAATTCCCAAAGAGTGCAAATGATGTCAAATGTTACTACAGTGTGAATTATTCAACTTGAAGAGTCAGATGCTGATATTTACTCCCCTCCCCCACCCCATTTGGCAAGATTCACCCTCTACTGTGACCTTCCGTCACTCAGAATGCCATCTCAACATGGTATTCAGTGCTGCTGCAGTGGAAATTTTGCTCTGCACTGCAGCAAAGTCACACTGGACTAGTCAAGCATGCAGTCCATTTATTTCTGTGTTTGCTGTGAATTAATAGAACTGAGGCAGAGATAGGCCCAACACAAAGCAGAAATAATGGATCGTTTTATGCTAACTGGAGAGTGAGGGATACAAACAGTAGCAGATAGGCAAAAAGTCAACACGTGGCCTAAGGCAGAGTGATCTGTCAGCTGTAGAGGGGAGTAGTCTAGGGACAGTTGCAACCGAACTGGTTGCTTACTATTTCAAATTAAGTAGCTTCCATGCAAAAGAATTTTTCCATCCTTCCTCTAGATTTGCAGAAGTGTCTGCAGTGATTCTGTAAAATGATTCCTTGGCACGATCCCAAGTCACCTTCTGGCTACATCCTGATCCACAATGTGCGAGCAAATCATATTGCGAATCTCCATTGCTCTTCGAGAACAGGAGCAGTGTGCATGTAGGTGGGATCCAGCTGTCTATGCAGGCTTTGAGCCAGAATTGTCCTGTGCTCACTCGCTCTGGAAGTATTCCCCTTTTAGCCTCACAAATGTTTTGCAAGGTAAAGCACACCACACTAATGTGAACTGCATTGGCTGCACTGGCATTCAGATGGGTCCGCAGGCATCACCAGCGAGCTTTTCAGACTCTCAAAAGTGCATTCCGCTACCATTTTGCAGCTACTCTGTACTTGTATTTGCTTTTTCTTAGGTCAGCAATGTTGGGGTACAACTTTGAGCTATGTTGGAAGCGGGTATGCGGGGTCCCCCAAAATAACTGTGGGGACAGAAACACCGTACACAACCTAGTTTTTTCTGCAGAATGAAGTCCCTTTGCGGTACAATCCTGACCTCCTGAGTGCCCTGGTGTCGTGAACCTTTCCTGTGTCCAACATAGGTGTTCATGAACCAACCTCTGTTGTCCACTGAGCCTTGGATAATGAGTGAAGAGTAACCTTTTTGGTTCACATATTCACTGGCTCCTTTTAATGGATGAAGTATTGGAATGTGTGTTCCTTTGATGGTGCCCGCACAGTTTGGAAAGCACATCCTCTGAAATCCTGCTGTAATTTCAGGGACTTTAATTATGGCAACCACCCATGGGTAGATTGCAGTTTTGATAGCATGACAAACCTGTACAACAGTCACCCTGACAGTTGACTTCTCAACCGTGAACTTGTTTGCAATTGACTGACAGCTATGAGGTGTTGTCAGCATCCAAAGGGTGATAGCCACCTGCTTCTGTACTGGTATGGATTTCTGAAACTGAGTGGTCTGCACTGAAGGGTTGGTGCAAGCAACTTGCACAACTCCATGAAGATCTTCCTCATTCGGAATTTCTGCAGCCACTGGTCATCATCCTAGGTTTCCCAACTGATGTGGTCCCACTACACTACGTTGTTTATCTGGGACTAGGAGCAGCAGTCCATCCATGGGTATACTGTTGCAATCCCAGCATTCAACACATCTGTTCCTTGGAAGCTTAGTAAATATTTGTTTGCCCTCTTGGTTAGTCATCTTCAGCATTTCAAATTTTTCTGACCCATTCTATCCATTATCTGGTACTGGACTGCATGAACATTGGTCCCACAAGCAGTAGCAGGAGAAGAACCACATTGTGGACTTGCTCCTTGGCTTCAACGCAGTTTGGCAAAAGGGAGAGATGACCAAGAGCTGCTGATGCCAAATGTGTGAAGGCAGCAACTGTGTGTTGTCAGTACTGGCAACATGCAGCAAAGCGGTTCCCAGAGCATCTCCTGTGACACACAGGACTCCAGGACACCGACCCTGAAATAGCACTACTGTCATGTACTGAAAAGGGGCAGTATGGATGCAGGTATATGCCTGTATGCGCAGGCAGAATATGTGGACGCTGTGTGGGTACAAGGTACATGTTCTAGCAGTATATGGACAAGTACTCAGGGAAGTGCGCAAGTATAGACGTAGCCTGAGATTTAGGCAGTCTTTTTTTCTTTTTCCGTCCCATGCAAATATTTGAATTTGGGGAAGTATTAATTATGAAAAGGATGACTTTGCATTACAGTACTCATGCCATTACACATTTATGTATGCTGTATAAAGTACAGCTGAATAATAAAAAATTATCCAATTTTGCCCATATGACACCTTTATTTGTAACAAAATTTTGAGTTTCCAGTAACTGGAGAAAATTAATCAACTATGAATAGCAGCTGGATTTTTAAGTAAAAATGTTTCTGATGTTTCTGAACCTTGTGATTTAATGTACTTACAGGTGGATGAAAGCCAAACTGGAGAACCTGGGTGGCTTGGAGGCGAACTGAAGGGAAAGACTGGATGGTTCCCTGCAAACTATGCAGAGAAAATACCTGACAACGAAGTTCCAACCTCTGTGAAACCAGTAGTTGACACTACTGTTGCACCTAAAGTTTCTTTGCGTGAAACACCCCCAACTCCAGCAGCTCCAGCTCCAACAGAATCTACTGCAACCACCAACAACTGGGCCGACTTCAGTTCAACGTATGTTTGCTGGTGGTTATCACAAACCAGTACTGTGGGTTTTCAAGCAGTTAACTTGTGACCAGTTAAAATTCATTACATTTCTCATCCACTGAGATTGTGTCAGTAGTTAACCTGGCAAATGAGAGATTTGCAGGAAACTAGAAAGCACACTGTAAATCAGGAAGGATTATTCATCTTCAGTAAAACACAACTCCCATCGTAATTTTTTCCCTTTAGTAAACATTTTTTCCTCAATAGGATAGTCCGCAAAAGTTTTGTTTTTGTTCTGTGGCATTTTTTTAATTTAAATTAGGCTTTCCAGTCCAAAGGCATGCTTTCGCCATATCCTCTTAAGCAATCAAGAAGACAAGTACAAAAGCTTGCCCATCTGGCCCTTTTCCCTGACCATATTCAGAATTATTTTACAGCAGAAATCCCAGCATGTCATCCTCCATTTGTTTATATACAAAATATGTGAGAGAGCAGAGTTGACACCTTCTCTTACTTCGTTACCAGCTTGTATTTTACATTAAGATGCTGCTGCTTCTGCTAAAGTCAACCAATTTATTGTTATACAGTAGTACTCCCCTGGTGTGCCTGATGCTATATACATGTAAGACAAGTTTCATGTCCCAAAGATTATATATGTGTATGTTTTATCAGGACAGGTTAGTCTACTATGTAAATAATTGGTTAATCATTTTGTTTAATGAGATAAGGTGTTTTACAATTAGAAGTATGTATTTTACTGAAACATTTGAGTACTTAACACACAGTGCTTTAAAAAGTTTTTACCCAAGAGAGCACAATAGTTCTGAAAGAACCATTTAAACTTGGTGGTAACTTTATGTTGCTCTCCAGACAACTTTTTTTCTGAAAAAGCAATAATATAAGAAAATTAAAACTGAGCTTCCCACTTATTTTTATTTTTTCCCTACCTAAACAAAAGTAGCTCAAGACAAAACTATTCTAATTTTAAGTGAATACTATGCATTTTTATAACTTTGCATAAAAATCACTGTCTGATTTTGGTAGAAAATAAAAAAATACAATAAGTTTCTACTCCAGAGCTTATCGTGTATGATGTTTGTACAGTGCTTAGCACAGTGGGGCCCAATCTGGTTGTGGCCCTCAGGCACTATTACAGTGTTAATGCTTAATAATAATCAATATTTAATTAAGGATACAGGAGCCAGGAATAGAAATTAATATTTAAGGTGAACACTCTCTTTATACTGTTAGGGTTTGTTTCTTTTATTTAACCTAATGGGTTTGTTAAGGCACAGGTGACTATGTGAAGATATATAACCAAAATCAGTTAGTCTCCACATTTTAGTGGCAGTTTTCCATTTTGCAAGCCACGGATAGTGATGGGACTGAATGAACACCTTAATCTGCTGGCTGATTATTTTATTTAAAATGGGCCCAGACGTTCGTGTGGGTGATTGTACAAAACTGAAAAAAAATCCATACTAATTGGAACTGGTTTCCAATCTAAAATCCTCCCAAGCCTACTGAAAGTAGGACTCTCCCACCACTTTTCCCATTCACTTAGTTGTCCTTCCCATAAGCAGCCTGGGAAAATAAGTGTGCTTGGCAGCATTATCTGACAGCAAGGGGAAAGGGTAATATTTCGGAGGCCCTGGAGACAGTAAACAAAATGGCTGGCGTTAATTGGACAATCCAACTAAATTATACATACCTAAGGTCCCTTCCTATAGATCCAACTGGGTCTCAAAGAGCTCCTGGCTCTGAATGATCGCAGCACCATCTGCCTCCCTGTCTTCAGTGATATCTTCTTCATCTGCCAGTTCAAGGGAACCCTCCATTGCAGGTTGTGAGCTGTCCACTTTTATAGGCAGGAAGGCAGGTGGTTCCTGGCTCAGTCTGACAACAAGCTGTTTGTTACACAGGCCTGTCTAAGGGGCAACACCAGACTTAAGGCTGTGTTCCTCTGTCTTCTGGTAAGCCTGACGCAGCTCCTTCTCCATTTCCTGGCATTGGCCCTCATCCCTGCTATACCCCTGGGCCTCAGTGCCCTCAATGTACACTTCCCTTGTATACCTCTTTATTCCTGTTGAAATTATGTAGCTATGCCCGCACATGCTCTTCTCTACCCCACCTTCGCATCAAGGAAATCAAGGACCTTTTCCCTAGACTATACAGTGGCATGAGGATGAATTAGACTTGTGCTTGTCCAACTTTCACAAATACACTTGTACTAGCAGGAAAAGAGGCATTTCCAAAATATATCAGTGACTTTAAAGTGGGGGAGTGGGGTTGGACTTAGTATCACCATGATACCTCAGGAGCATTGTTCAAAAATTAGACAGAATGGGCACTGCTGAGGGGACAGGTGCTAGAAGACTACTTGTACTGGTACAGGTACTTCTGCAGCCATACAAGCATCATGCCAGTAAAACTATACTAGTAGAGGGCTTGTGTCACTGGAGGAACTGATTTAACTTGGCTGGTAAAAGTTGAGGGATTTTTTTGTCAGGACTCAAAACTAAATGTGGATGCATGCAATACTGTGCTGACAGAAGGCAAGTTTTGCTGTTAAAACTTTGTAGTGTAGACCAGGCCAGGAAGTGAACAACGTTGAGCTTTGCCAGACCCACGGGGGTGAAATGCCCTGTCTTTGTCTCACTCTTCCCTTTCTCCACCCCACCTGTTTACTGTGTAGAACTGTTAACTCATACGTGTCAGCTGATGTTAACTCCAATATTATGATGAAAGAGGTAGCTGGGACTCAACTATTTAGGGCTTTTTAGACTTTAGGGTTCTACACTAGCTAGTGAAAACGGAGACAATTGTCTGTTACTTTGTAATTGCAAAAGCAAAAAAATTCAATTGTTAATATATTTAGTTTTAAGTAGACAAAGGTATATAAACTACAGCTGTGCACTGAGCTTTAAAAATGCATAGTTTCAACAGTTAGCACCCAGAGCTTGCACGCTGGGGGAAAAAGAAATTGGACTAATGAAGTCTAAACAATAAGGAATAAGGCAGGAGATTGAGAACAGATAATCATGGTAAGGTGGAAAGTGGGTTCTAATAATCAATTTACAGGATGAGAGGTGATGTTCAAAGGATAAGTGATCACATGAAAAAAATCACTCAGATTATATAGTCTGCCTTATTTTCAGGTGGCCGACCAGCACTAGTGAGAAACCAGAGACTGATAATTGGGATGCTTGGGCAGCTCAACCTTCTCTGACTGTTCCAAGTGCAGGGCAGGTGAGGCAGAGATCAGCCTTCACCCCAGCCACTGTTACCGGATCATCGCCTTCTCCTGTCCTGGGGCAGGTAAGTGGCTATATCTGTGCAGAAATCATACTTTAACCCAGTGTTTTAACTTACGCAAAGTGATGACCAAACATTAATTGACCAGCCCTTGCAACATTCATCTAAGGGAGGTAAAGTATTTCAAGATGAGGAGATGAAGATGTCAAACAAAGCCATGCGGGAAGTGCAATTTGGCATTCTCGGAGTTCTCAAGTAGAGCTGGGTGAAATATTTTTGACACAAAATTTGTCAAAAAAATTCATTTTGGTCAACCCCAAACTATTTGTGAATTTGACACACATTCACCAAATAGTTTTAGGCAGGAAAAAAATGTTCAGGTTAGATTCCCAAAATGTGGTGAAGAAGAGTAGGAGGTGGTAGGGATGGTGTCCCCCATTATAACTCTTATCCCAGTGATTAGTGCACTCAATTGGTTTGTGGGGGTTAGAACCTGAGTTTCCTGCTCTGGAGCAATGATTTGAACCCAGATCTCCCCCTCCCAGCTTTGTGCCCTAACCATTTGGGCTGCATCGCTCTCATTTTTTCCTACTGAAGCTGTTCCATTTTTTATAAAATGCTTGAATAAATTGGGCCAGAGAGAAAGAGAGAGCAACTCTAGTCTGGTGGTGAGGACAGTCACTTGGGAGGAGTGATCTGGGCTCAAATCTCTGCTCCAGATCGGGGATTCAAACCTGGGTCTCCCACATCTCAGGTGAGGGATTTAGATCAGCGGTTAGAAGTTTTATCAGGAGACCAGCATCAACATCCTTTCCTCCTCCAATCATTTTATGACTCTAGCTCTTAAAAAATGCCTGGAAACAAAATGTTTTGGGTCAAACTAGCTTTGATTTGCATAATTTTTGTCTACATTTTTTAATTTATTTCAACCCAATTTGCAAACTTTATTTTTTTTCCAGAACTGCTAGAGAACCGAAAAATCAGTTATTCGCCCAGCTCTATTCCTGAATCCCAATCCTGTGCTCAATCTGTTAGATCACAGTGCCTCAACACTGGCTGAAAAATATGTAGTGCTGGTACATAGATATAGCATTCTGAGATGTGCTAGATATGTAAAACCCGAAAAAGCAAGTAGAATGCAAGATGGCATAATGAATAAGTTATAGCAAAAAGATTCTCTTTATTTTCACTTTTTGTGAGATTTACTATAAGCCCTGGGGGCAAGGCTTGTCTCTTTATTTATAGTGCTTTACATAAATGTGGTAGATGAGACAATTAATTTTTAAAACCTTTTTCTGTGTAGAAAAATTATTAAATATCTTACAGGAGTGTATGCACCAGGCACTTTAATACAAATCTAGAAATACTGGTGGACTGTGTTAATATATCCACTTGATTGTATTTTTTTTTAAATGATCTGTTTGGCTTTATTTGAGTAAAAAGCTTATTTTAATAGAAACAGTCAACACACAGAGCTGTGTCTATAAATGAATGTTGGATTTATTTATTTATTTATTAGCAGCCTTCTTTGCGAAAGACTCTAAGTGATTCACATTTATTTTCTTACCACAATAGGGTGAAAAAGTAGAGGGCCTTCAAGCACAGGCCTTGTATCCTTGGAGAGCCAAAAAAGACAACCACCTCAATTTTAACAAAAATGATATCATCACAGTTCTGGAACAGCAAGACATGTGGTGGTTTGGAGAAGTCCAAGGTCAAAAAGGATGGTTTCCCAAATCATATGTGAAACTCATTTCAGGCCCCATAAGAAAGTCGACAAGGTATTTTGTTTGGTTGCTTTTGTTAGAATGAACAGCATTTTTATTTAATCATTAATATTATGTTGTTCCTATTCAAAATGTTGTGTGTACTTGTACGTTCGTTTTTAAAGTGTTGGCATTGTGTGGCCATATTTGTGTATCTGGTTTCAGATCGGTGTGACTCCGTTTATAAATAAAATGATGAGCTTTGTTTTCTGGCTTCCTCTGTTTTGTTTTTGTTTTTGTTTTTGTTTTTTTTAAACTTCCAGTCCTACCTACAAACTCAGCTTGGGATATGAAAGCAAAGATGGATTCTTCCTGCATCATGTATCGCCAACAACAATTCTGCATTTAGAATTTAGCTAACAATTTTGGCTACACAATGTCAACAAAACTAAAAAGTAGCAAAATCTTACTTACTTTGATAAAATAAGTAAGAATTGAAATACGCGTGGGGTAGGGCTAGTGAGTAAAGAGGTGCCACTTTCCTATATTCACTTTACTAACAAACAGTGTTTTGAAAGATAGTAAGATTGTACTCTAATACAATACATCGTGTGAAAACAATGTTCTAGTTGATAATGAAAACTAGAATGAACTTTACATTTTTCTATTGGGGAGCAGAGGAGAGCACAGCAATTTTTGCTTTCAGTCCAGTTACATGATTTCAAACTGTATTTTGTCATGCTGAGGTTTAAAACTTAAATTTTACTATCTTTTTGCTTTACATGTTGAGATAGTTTGTTCATGGATATAGCTTTTAATGTATTTTTTATTCAAAACATTTAGTTTTGTTAAATTTAGAGAAATTAAGACATTTAATATTTTCTCTTTAAGCATGGATTCTGGTTCTTCAGAAAGTCCTGCTAGTGTAAAGAGAGTAACATCACCAGCAACTAAACCTGCTATGTCAGGCGAAGGTAAGAATTTGGATTGAATGATATTAGTAACATCTTACTGTATAGTTTTAATAAAAGAAATTATATAGTAATAGGAACAAGTTCAGAGCCAGATCCAGTGGGAGTTGGTGGTACTCAGTTCCATTGCAGAATCAGGCCCTCTTACTTTACAAAGTAAGAATTTGAATTACCTCCAGAATTAATTATGACTATAAGGCTATGTCCTGCATGTTTTGTAAAACTGCTCATTTACAGAAGAATAGTATTTTTCTAATTAACTTAGGTACATTAATTTATGCAGTGTTATTTATAAGCAGTTGAGAATCAATCCCATTTTCTGATTGTTTTTAGCCTTCTGCCTACAATAGGAAGGGCCCAGGCCCAGCATATGAAATGCATAAAGGATATATTTTCTTTTAACATACACTGTGTGTGTGTATGCAGTATATGCCATGTAAAAACATGCGTACATGCTTCAAGATAAGCAAGAATATTCATTAAATTAATAAGTTGTCTCCCAAAATTTTAGTTTTTCATTCACAATGTTTCTTTGTGAATAATTTGAATCCTGCGGTGCCTGTTTTCCTATTTAAATGTTGGATAGACCAAAACTTTCGACCTCTTAGAAAGGGAAGACAAACCAGTGCTGATCCCACCATGAGGAAAGGGATAATTATCCAAACAGACATGTATGTACTGTAAATTTTTAATAGTTTTAATTTGTGCTGTCTTATTTGACCCAAGAAGGTTAGATTTAAATTATAAATTAATAGCAAATAATATAAATAAATATACATTAATAGCAAATAACAAGGACTGCACTCAGTGCCTTGAGATAGATATCAGTATTTTTTGTTGTTCCATGTTATTTTGAACATTAAGCACCTTCCATTAATGAACTATTATTAATCGAAAACCATGTGAGTACTTATAGTTGTCTACAAGTTTGTACCTATTTTTTTCATAACAAGATTCTAAATGTGCCAGACCTTTGCTATCATTGGAACCCACACCACTGCTAGCACAGGTATGGCTGCAGTGATACCAGGAAACAGATAAAAAAACTTTTCTTCTGAGATATTGTTGATAAAACTGCTGTCAATATAACAAACTTTTCATAAGACATGTTAGCTTGGTAGAAGTTGGATTCAGTTATTAAACATGTAGGCTCCCTATTTTTTTAGTATTAAAAGTAATATTGACACTAGGGATTTTTTTGGGGTGGGGTGGGGTTGCATTTAAATGGGAGTGAGTCCAGCAATAGTTGTGCCAGTTCAATTCAGTTATTTATATCACTTAATTATTGACCTATAGCATATCTGATTCAAGGTTGAAGGGGGTTACTGGAGTTAATCTGATTCAGAATTGGTTACTTAATTGTCAAAAAAGCACACAAAGCAAGGGATAGGAGCTGTATGCATGTGCACATGTGTGAAAATAAATATATTTTACAAAATAGTAATATCTCTATCAGTCTTTTTAGCAGTGCTTTAATTCTTTATTTTTTAAAACCTCATCTGTACAACTGCAATTTAATAGGAATCATTTGGGGCAATTTTTATCACACACAATGTAGTCTATAGTTTGCCACTGATAATAAAAATTCCACTGTGGAAAGTGGAATTATAGAAGGATGCTAAAATTTGGCTTCCTTGATTTTCAAAGGCAGTTTAAAAGCAAATACAGAACTGCTAAACCATCTCCCTCCCAGTCGTGGCTCTGTAGCTACAACCTGGGATACTGCACGTCTTCTGTCATACGTTCTGTATTTTTCAGTTTGATTAGCTGGATATTTTACACACTGTGCTAAAAGCATATACTTTCAAAAATATTTTTTAAAAATCGTTTTGTATGGATTCAGCAGCTTTATAATTTCTTTAGGAAAGGAAACTCGTATATAAGTATTCTTCAGAAACAGACTTTCATGAAAGCTAGTTAGTATTTTAGGTCTGAGGATAGTATTTCCATCTACACTTACTCCCCAACCATTAAACGTGCTATGCCTGCCACTGTTTTCCACAAGCAAAGTGTGTAACACAGAATATTTTCAGAAATCTTTGAATTGTGTAATAGGCATACTAATTCAGAAAATGTTACTGGTTTGTCTGAGATTCTTATTTGCACTCCTAGCTGTACAGGTTTTCATTTAGTTCTGTAATTAAATTACACGTTGCATTTCTCAAGAGCAGTCTGTTTCAGTGTTGTTGTTTTTTTTTTTGCTCTTGAATACCAAACAGCTGACCATGTTTTAACAAAATTGTGTATTCCACCATTATCTTAGCATTTTCAAGCCAACTGTTGCATAGGATACAATGAGATTGGCTGTCTCCATACAAAGCTTCAAGTAATGAAAGAATTCATTGTTCATGAGAGCCAACTGACCTATGTAAAAGGAACACTGTATCAGAAGTTCAGAAAGTGGGATTTTGTATGCCAGGACTGAAATGCTAGTTCTCAGCATAAAATTGAACCCGTAGAAAGTATGCTTATAAAGCCAATCATCATCAAGTGCTTGCACATGTCCATTCCACTTTAGGACTGTGTGCGCTAGGGCATTGAAGCTGGAGAATTCTTCCCCATAACAGTATCCATCAGGACAGCACATGTTAGCCAACGGTATAAAAGGATGGAGCCGCTCTGCCCCCTCATCAATTCCTTTTTACTGCTCATGGTCAGTAGTTGTACATGTGTGAACTTTACTCTCTCCCATTCTGTTTTTAGAAAAAATTGCTAGAGGTTTTTTACTGTAAATAGTTTAGTATGGTTGTAGTTATAGTTTTAATTAGTAGCACTTTCTTTGAGCTTTTAGCATGGTACTGGGGCATGCATAAATCCCTGGGATTTAAGCGCCATTCTGGCTGTAGCAAGTCTATACCAGTCAGCAATCCTCACTCCCTGTTTAAAGTGTTTTGCAGAAGTATGCGTGAGGCATCAATGCCTTATCTACGCGGGTCTTTCAGACCAGGATTAAGAAGTTGAGAGATGTTTGACTTTGAGATAGGGAAATAGTTTTTCTTCCCCCTTCGGACCCCAGCTGCTCTGTACCTGGGGATTCAGACTTGACCCTATCTCAGACCACATCACCAGATTTGGCAGCATCCATGCAGCAGAGAGAGCTAGAGACACCAATCTCCATTTTCAGTACTGGGCAAGCTGCAGAAGTAGTCCACCATTTCAACCTCTTCTGGCCAAAAGAAGCCCTCTTCATCTTGAGGGCGTGGTCCCCAACAGACTTGCACAAGAAGAAGACCAGTACCGAGGTTAGAGCTAAGGCAGCTCCCACTTAGGCACTCCTAGTACAGCATTCTAGCAATGTAGAGTAATCGACTCTGGCCCTTCATGCAAGACCATAGAGGCTGACTCCATTGCCGGGACCTTCAGTGGCACCACCTTCCTCTGTGCTGCGTCCTACTGTACCAGTACCATGACATCTGAAGTGTTTGCAGTGGCCAGGGATCTCCTGTGCTTATTGGTGTCAGACTCACCACTGATGCTGGATGAGACTCAGTTACCAATTAATTCTACCCCCCTGGGATACTTCTTGGCATCTACACATTTGGTGCTGTTGGGGACTGAACCAGACCCCCTCGGTATGAACAAAGGAAGTTCTGTTGTGCAGTAGAGCAGACATACAGTCCCTTCAGCAAGAGGAAAGCCTCAGATTCTTCCTCCAGTACCATCCACCTCCCATCAGGTCTTGGTCTCCTGCTACTCTACTTGTTACTATGCTGCCTTGGCATTCAGACTGTGCTAACTCGTCGTTCGAGTCAGAGGTGGTATATTATGCTTTACAATCTCATTTCAGAAGGGCTCAAGCATCTTCCGTTTGTCCTCATGCCGTTCAAGGCCCCAGCATCGTGACTTCTTATAGGAGCAGGTCTCGATCGGATGCCCTTAGGGCTGGACCCTGGTATTGTATCAAGTACAGCAGTGGCCTTTCTGGAATCCATGGGGTACTCCTGGATTCACGTCTGTTTTCTCTTGTGTATCACTCTACTTAATCTCCATCAAGGTGCCATTTTGTTTGTACTGACTCCATTACCCAGAATTGAGGGATCTTATTCCTCCAGTATCTGACCCTCCTGTTACAGATAGTCAGCACTCAACAGAGCAGACTGACACTGTAGTGCCTCTGCACAATGCTTCCTCATCACCACCAGATGGGGTCACTGTCTCAGAATTGTCCTCCCAAATCCCAGGTGATTATAAAATGTACCAGGAAACTAGGGAAAGGGTGGCTGCCTCCCTAGGTATTCAGATGAAACTGTTCCAGGATAATCCACACAAATTAGTGGATATTTTGAATTCGGCAACGCCATCTGGCTCTGCCTATTAATGAAGCCATCTTGGAACCCACCAGAATTCTTTGACAAGAATTCCTCTTCCTTGACACCCACTGCCAAGAAAATGGAGAAGAGGTACCAAATTCTTTGAGTGATTGCTCCTGTCTATTCCACAGTAGGTGTGCATGCTCGCCGTGTGCACCGGTGTTGGAAGTTTTTCCCTTAGCAGTACCCGTACTGGGGGAGCACCGTGGCAACCCCTTGAGTGGCGCCTGCATATCGCGCTATAAGGGGAGCCACAGGCTTCCCCCACCCTCAGTTCCTTCTTGCCAGACAACTCCGACAGAGGGGAAGGAGGGTGGGGTGTGGAATAGACAGGAGCAACACATCTCGAAGAATGCCAGTTACGGAACAGGTAACTGTCCTTTCTTCTTCGAGTGATTGCTCCTGTGTATTCCACAGTAGGTGATTCCAAGCAATATCTGCTGGAGGTGGGTAGGAGTTCATGATGGTTCGGGACGAAGTACTGCCCTGCCAAACCCGGCATCATCCCTAGTCTGGGAGACGATCGCGTAATGCGAAGTAAATGTGTGAACTGAGGCCCAGGTGGCCGCCCTACAAATGTCCTGGATGGGGATATGGGCTGCGTAGGCAGCTGATGAGGCCTGAGCCCTTGTAGAGTGTGCCCTGATGATCGGTGGCAGGGGAATCCCTGCCAACTCATAGCACGTGCGTATGCACGAGATGATCCAGCGGGAAAGCCGCTGGGAGGAGATAGGCTGCCCCTTTGCCCGCTTGGCTGAGGCAACAAATAGTTGAGAGGATCTCCGGAACGGCTTAGTCCGATCCAGGTAAAAAGCCAGCGCCCCTACGCACATTGAGCGTGTGGAGACAAGTTGCCAGATGATGCTAAAGAGGAGTTCGGAGCTCTTGTACATGAAGGCTGCCTGTTAGCAAGGTTGTCTTTACAGGCTGTATTGGATGAGGCGGATTCAGAAGCTCTGATAACAGCAACAGCAGTTACTATGTGTTGTGCATCTTGGCTGCAATCGTCTGGCATTCCAACCAAAGTCCATCAAACAATGGAAGACTTGCCCTTCATTCTCTCAGAAGACTGACTACAGTCTGGATTCTCTTTAAGAGTCTAGGACAACCTTAAAGTCTTTGGGTTTCATACACAAGTCCTAAGAGAGAGCACTTCTGCTCTCAGGTCCAGCAAAGGTACCTGTTCTACCTGATAAGGCAGCCAGACCAGTCCAGGGAATGCCATAAATCTCAGAGGAAGAGACCACCTCCTTGTCCACTGCCTTCTGCTACCTCTAAATAATCTGTAATATCTAAGCAATCTATTTGATTCTGTCATCGAGGTCAGCAAGCCACTCTAATTTCTCCTGCTTTTGGCAGCAAGTTGTCCCACTTCCTAAGCACTTGGACCCACATAATAACCTATCAATTGGGTTCTAAACGTGATGGAACTGAGAGGTACCCTGCAATTCACCTCTATTCCCCCTTCCCACACACCTCACCACCCTTTTCAAGGACCATTCTCACAAGACTGTACTGATTCATGACAGTCAGTCTCTATTACAGTTATGGGGCAGCAGAGTCAGCATTGGGGGAAGGGAGTCTGTTCCCGCTATTTTCTCATTGCAGAGTCCAAGGGATGCCTCAGACCTCTTTTAGATCTGCAAAAACTCAGAGTTTTATATGATTACTCCTACATCTGTTATCCCGACCTCAGACCCCAATGACTGGTTTGCTGCCCATGACTTAAGGCTTGTCTCCTCGTATCATGGCTCGACGCTGTGGCGATTGATCTACTGGGGGTCAATTTAGCGGGTCTAGTGAAGACCTGCTAAATCGACCGCTGATCGCTCTGCCGTTGACTCCGGTACTCCACCGGAACGAGAAGCATAAGGTAAGTCTCCATCTCTGGAGATATTTAAGAGTAGGTTAGATAAATGTCTATCAGGGATGGTCTAGACAGTATTTGGTCCTGCCATGCGGGCAGGGGACTGGACTCGATGACCTCTCGAGGTCCCTTCCAGTCCTATAATCTATGATTCTATGAAGTCGATGTGAGAATTTCTCCTGTCGACCCAGCGTGGTGTCAACACACTGCCATGAGTCGATCTTAGGCTAGGTCTACACTACCCGCCTGAATCGGCGGGTAGAAATCTATCTCTTGGGGATCGAATTATCGCGTCTCGTCGGGACGCGACAGTCGATCCCTAAATCAACGCTCTTACTCCACCAGTGGAGGTGGGAGTAAGTGCCATCCACGGGGAGCCACGGAGGTCGATTTTGCTGCCGTCCTCGCACATAGCTGAATTTGCGTATATTAAATCGACTCCCCCCTCTTCCCTCCTCCCCCTCCCCCCCCGTAGTGAAGGCCTGCCCTAAGGTACATCAACTCCAGTCGACTTAGCCCGGTAGTGTAGACCTGCCCTTAGAGGATGCCTGCTTCCATTTGGTCATTCACCAGAGCTACAGAAAGTTTTTAAGACTTGTTGTAGAAGATGTTCATTATCCGTTTATGGTGGTCCTCTCTGGCCTTTTGTCAGCCCCTCGAGTCGTCACAAAGTGCATGGCATTGGCTGCGACACATCTCAGGGAGGCAGATGTTTAGGTGTACCCATATCTGGATGACTGAATGGTTCAGGGTCGGTTCAGACAGCGAGTAGTGGTAGCCATGAAAAAGATCCAATCCCTCTTTCATTTGTTGAGCCTGTTAGTCAACAAAGATAAATCCGTTCTCTTTGTACAAAGAATCAAATATGGTTTTTATGAATTAGATTTGACCACAGTGAAGATTGTATTCATCTCCGGCCAGGTTTTTAGGTGATCTTGGACCTGTGCAAATACTTCAAGGCTTCATACGACAGTGAGGAATTGCCTGAAACTTCTTGGTCCCATGGCAACTTGCACATACATGACATAGCATGCCAGACTTCACCTCAGTGTCATGCAGAGGTTGTTGTAGACCAGGGGTTGGCAACCTTTGGCACATGGCCCATCACGGAAAGCACATGGCGGGCCGGGCCGGTTTGTTTACCTGCCGCGTCCGCAGGTTCAGCCGATCGTAGCTCCCACTGGCCGTAGGAGATGTGCTGGCCGCTGCTTCACATAGCCCCCATTGGCTGGAGCGGCGAACTGTGGCCTTTCAATTCAAGATCCCACACCTCTCCCTTAGGTCTCAGGACATAGTTTTGCAGGACCATGGCCAGACTCTGCATCCCAAACCTCTCAGCCTATACTTTACTGCTTGGATGCTTGGATGCTCAGTGGCTAACTTCCCAGGAAGCTGTCTGTTCCCTTGGAGTGTAAAATATTTTAAATAGCAGAAAACCCTCCCACTTATACTCACCTCAAGAAATGGAAGAGCATGTGGTCACAGCAAGAAGATACCTCTCCTTCAGTGGCTCCGATTCAGTCTGCTCTGGATTACCTGCTTCACCTAAAGGAAAAAGGACTTTCTACCACTTCCATGAGGGTTCATCTGGCAGCTGTTGCCACATTCCATCCTCCAGTAGATGAAAGATCCGTCTTGTTCCAACCCTACGACTGTTATGCTCTTGAAAGGTTTGGACAGGCTCTTTACCTCCTATTAGGGACCAACACCATTCTGGGATCTGAATTTAGTTCTTTCCATTTTAATGGGGCCTCCTTTTGAACCTATAACTGTGTGGTTGTTTTCTCATCTTTCAATGAAGGTGGTGTTCTTGGTGGCTATTACTTCAACCAGGAGGGTAACAGAATTTCAGGCTTTGGTGGCTGATGTTCCTTATATATTTATCTTTATGAAAGTTAACATGTGTCCACACTCCAAATTTCTCACAAAAGTGGTGTTGAATTCTAAATAAGCTTATATACTTACTAAGCAACAGAGGGTCCTGTGGCACCTTGAAGACTAACAGAAGTATTGGAGCATAAGCTTTCGTGGGTGAATGCCCACTTCATCAGGCGTCTGATGAAGTGGGCATTCACCCACGAAAACTTATGCTCCAATACTTCTGTTAGCCTTAAAGGTGCTACAGGACCCTCTGTTGCTTTTTACAGATTCAGACTAACACGGCTACCCCTCTGATATTTACTAACCTTTTTTCCTGAAACCTCACTCTCTAAGATAAGGAAAAACTCTGTACTTGGGACTTTCATAGGGTGTGTTAGCCTTTTACCTGTTTAGAATGTCTCCTCAAGTATTTGTCTCCTTTGCTGACAGGATGAGGGGGCAACTTTTCACTTTTCAGAGGATTTCTTCCTGGACCTCCTCTATTCATCTGTGCTATGATATTGCTGAAGTTCCACCATCTCAGAGTTTTAGCATACTCTATGAGAACACAAGCAGCAGTGGCTGCTTTCTTGGGTCACGTTCCCATCAGTAAAATTTGCAGGACTGCAACTTGGTCATCTGTACATATGTTCATCACACATTATGCTCCCTTCCAAACCTTGAGGCTAGATTTGGGAGCATGGTGTTGCAGTCCTTGTTTAAGTAGACTCCGATCTCCTATTCCATCTAGAACTGCATGTGGGTCACCTAAAGTGGAATGGACACGTGCAAGCAATCGAAGAAGGAAAAAAGGGTTGCATTACCTGTTCAGTAGCTGTTCAAGATGTGTTGCACATGTCCATTCCACAACCCACCCTCCTTCCCTTCTATATCAGAGTCACAGCAAGTACTGGCTTCTGGAGTGAAGTAATTGAGAGAGATGGGTGACTCCACCCCAGTATACTTTTGGCTAGCAGCATGAATGTTCAGAGAGTGCATGCTCTGCCCTGTTTGGGACCACTATGGGAAACAATTCTCCAGCTTTGGTGCACTGGCGCACGCACACACACACACACACCTACACCTACACCTACACCTAAAGTGGAATGGACATGTGAAGCACATCTTGAAGAACAAGTTATCAAACAGGGATGTAACAGTTTGGGTGGTGGTTTTTGGTTTTGTTTTTTGTTAATAAAAAAATAGATATATACTTAGGTCATGTTAGAGGTTTACCAAAAATAATAACTTCATCCATAATAGGAGTGTTGTTGTTTTTTCGTTTGGGTTTGTTTTTTTAGAATAGAAGCCTTTAAAGAACTTTAAGTAGTCTTGAAGATCATCTAATTTAGAAAGTTAAATATTAAACCTTATTTGTGAAGGAAGGGAAAATGTTTTGGAGTGAAGTGTTGCCTACACAGAAGCAATAGGGCAGAAAGCTATGAATATCTAACCTTTGGACAGGTCATATGGCATTACTTTCATAAAGGTAGATTTTTGCAAATTATACTTTGATTCATCAAGCATTTCCCATTTTTTGAACAACTTCTCCTCCAGAATATATTGCCATGTACACATATGAGAGTTCGGAACAAGGAGACTTAATCTTTCAACAAGGAGATATGATTCTTGTGACAAAAAAAGATGGTGACTGGTGGACAGGAACATTGGGTGACAAATCTGGAGTCTTTCCTTCTAATTATGTGAGACTGAAAGATTCTGAGGTAAAGAGATATGAAACATTACAAAGTCTATCCTTTTTTGTATCTTATTTGTCCACTTTATAATGTTCATTTGATGATTTCAAGTCAGTGAATCAGATGGAGGGGTTTTTTATCTTACAACTTTATTGGACATGAAAAAGCATTGTTACAGTGAAGTTTGAAAGATAAGCCTGTATAAACTACCATGGAGTACCCCAATGGTTCTCAACAGGAGGTCCGCGCCCCCCTAGGGGTCCCCAAACCCTTTCGGGGGGCCATGGGGCCCTGTGGCTAAAACCCAGAGCCTGAGCCCCAGCACCCCTCGTGGAGCTGAAGCTGGGAACAGCAGGGCTGAATTCCGAAGCCCCGAGCCCCTGGGCAGAGTTGGAGAGATATGGGTGTTACACCCCCCACCTCGAAACTACAGTGCAAGAGCAGGGCAGTCCCAGAGAAGGTCCAGCCCCCTCCACCTCCTTGTCTCCCCACTCCCTGGCCAGATCAGAGGCGGGAAGCCTTGTCTCCTGCTGCTGCAGGGGGTTGAAGCTGCTCCTCAGCTCCCAGCCCCCTTTGCTCACGCAATCGGTAAGAGCCGTCTGGGCAGGCAGACCCGGCTCCCTGGCTGGCAGACCCCTCGGAGAACAGGGACCGCAGGGGAGCCTTCCTGGCACACAGCTGCTAGCTACCCCCCTGCCTGCAACCTGAGCTGTTTTTGGACTTTTGAGCTGAGCCCCCCACCTTTTGAGTTACAATTTTTGGTTGCATCCCCCACCCAGACAGGCTGACTCGGGGTGGAGGTGGCGTTTCCTTCCCGACCCCGCCGTGCGGAGCTGTCCAGAGTCCCACTGGCCCCTGCCTACCCAAAATAGAAGTCAAACTACACCTATTCCTGAGCCCACGACTCCCGGCTGAGAGCCCCCAGTCCCCCCTCCCCGTTGGGCCCTGGAGTTTTTATAGCATGTTGTGGGGGGGCCTCAGAAAGAAAAAGGTTAAGAACACCTGGAGTACCCTGTCACTTACTGTTATTAAAGGCCTGTATGATAGTCATGTACAGCCAAATCAGAGGAATTATTGCTGTTTTCCAGTTAAGTTTTATGACCAAAGAGAATGGGCAGTAAGATATGACTTGAAACAATATAAAAGGGGAAATAGCCTAACATGAAATATTAAGCTTTTCCTTCCAAAACAAAGTATTGTAATAATGAACCCAAGGGAACAAGCCCAGGAGAAAAATAAGCTTACCTAATAGCCATATTCTGGTGAAGTTAGATTCATATCAATTAAATTCCAGAAGTTCTGAAGTTGGATGGACTCCCACCACATGTGTAGGCCCTGAAAGAGGGAATGCTTTTGTCAGTCGTCTGTGTGTGTGTGTGTCCGGAGAGGACGGGGGTAGTGATTCACTTTTCTTTTCTGGAGATGGTATATTGCATTAAATTTAAGAGATGTTTTCTCACGCACATTCTCATCTATTTGAGAATACAGTTGTCATCTATCAGTGGATGTTAGCTGGGTCATTATGCGGTTGTCTATATACACTTAAGTTCCTTCTTGCAACAAGATGAGAAATATAATGTATTCTACTGATTTATTGCACTTCTCTTCAAAATAAAATTATGGTCAAGACTCTAAAAAATGGGGGTCTAAATTTAGCCTTCTAAACTCTTATTTGGATTGGATTTAGGTGTCTAAGGATTTAGGAGCCTAACTTTAGGTGCACATTTTTTTAAATCTTGACAGCTGTGTTAATGAGCTATAACTGTCTGTGGATTGTATATGTGAAATATTAGCGCTTGTGTAGTCATCGTTTAACCTTTTTGACTTTTGGGAAAGATTGAAGAGTGATACTTTTTATCAGTAGTATAGTATGTAGATACTTAAAGGGCACTCATCTTTTCAATTAAAATAGAAAATACAGTAATCTCTTCTGTGATAGAGCTCCAAAACACTCTGGTTATGGTAGTGCAATGTTTTGGGCCACTTTTGCAGTACTGTAATAGCTCTTTCAGAAAGCATCTTCCTCTAAGACTTGTCTCAATGCAGCAAATTCTTCATTAAGAATCAGTTTAGAAGATGTAGATTAGAAAACTTGTATTTTTGTAAATATATTGTTTATATCCCTGTTATGCTGTTGGGAGAGCTAATTTAGTAGATTAAAGGATAAATCTAATCTCAACTGTTCATTATTTATGCAGTGCACTTTAAGAACAAATAAAACATGGTCCTGTTCTTGGATCTTAAAACTTAATGTTGGATATAACACAAGTGATAGCAGCATGGGGGGAGAGCAGAAGAGGGGTGAAGGCTTCAATAATATTACGACGTTATTTTTTTACATTTTTCCAGCATTCAGAGGTACTGTTTTTCTGGGCAGACTTTCAATAACTCTGATGTGCAATAGGATTTTTGGATTTTCAGAGGTTGGTTCTCCATCTAGTTTAGCAGGAGCAATTTCGCCCGCTGTGAACTCTGACTTAGATTGTATTATCATCTTCCCTTTAGATTGATGGGGTTCATGGACGGTCACACAGCGGGAAACCTTCCCAGATTCTCCAAACTGAAAACACTCTTTCCTGCCTAAACTAGTGAAGATGTTTGTTTTTAATTATTCATTACTCACTATTCCAGATAATATTTGGGGTGGCAATCCATCTGAGAATTGCTACAAGGATAGATCCCTCTAGGACAGTCACT